GAATGACAAGATGAGGGTGAGCATCATTGCTCCATAGCTTTGAAGTGATGAAGAGTTGGTCTCTGGAAGCAACAAGGCCAAGCTTAAGTGCTTCTTTTATAGCTTCACCCAGAGTCTGCTCTGAGCCATAAATGGCAGCTGTATCAAAGTGCCTGTAGCCAAGCTTAATGGCCTCAAGAACTGCTGTTTTCAACAGATTAGGCTGTATGTTGTCAGCTGCTGTGCCAAAGGCAAACACAGGCATGCTCTTGGGGCCAATGGAAGAGCCAAGCACCACTTCTGGGATATGGGCTGAAGAAGCAGCATTTGGCATCTTTGGTTTCTTATGTTCGGAAATTAGCTCAAGTTTTTGATCAAGTTTTGAAGTCTGGTTTTTAATTTTTCATCAAGTGAAGGTGCTTTTAAACTGCTAGATTTCAGTCAATTCTTGGGTTCTTACTGGACAAGAGAATGGTCAATTGAACTTTCCTCCTACGAGGCTGCTAACGTCATTGATTATGCAACTCTCAACCCCCTTACTATTTATCAATTGAACTTTCCTCCTACGAGGCTGCTAACGTCATTGATTATTGTTTTGTTGGACTTTTTTTATATATTATTTAAAAGGCTAAATTGTAGCAATGGTTCTTGGACTATACTCAAATTTTACTTTTTGTCCCTTACATTGTTAAATTGTTACCGTGGTACTTTAATTAGATCTTATAGTGCATCATTGGTCTTTCCGTCAATTTAATTAAATTTTCTGTCAAAATTAAGGGCAACTTGGGAAATTCATAATATATATATATATTTTCTTCCCTCTCTCTCTCTCTCTCTCTCTCTCTCTCTCTCTCCTCTGCACTCTCCCACTTCCCCCAACCCCAGCACCCACGAATTGGGAAATTGAAACAGATAAATTGGGTAGAAATGCTTGTTTCATTGAAGGGGGAATAGTAAGAGTATCAGTATAAAAGCTATGGAAAATTGGGCTTCTTTGTGGCTGGACCCCTTCTCATTCTCGTTGGAAAATTGGGACGGACCCTTCTTTGTGGCTTCATTCAAATGGGAATTTTTGGTGGATTTCTTCTCGAGGCTTCCGCTGTTGGAGGATATGGCGTTGGATGTGTGCAAGAATGCGAGAGAGTGGGTTGGCGTTGAAAGTGCTTGGGTCGAAGTGTCCCAGGCTGAGGGCGCTCAAGCCTGGGCAGTTTCGTGGGATTTGATCTGCGATTGGGTCCGAGCTAGACAACATTGCGTTGTGTTCATGACTGGAGTCGTTGTCGATCAAGAACTCGGCTGATTTGACAAATATGAGGTTGATTGAGATCGCTAAATTGTGCTGCAAATCACTTCCCCCGCACCCACGAACCTAGAACCCTTTACCCTATGGAGAGAGAGAGAGAGAGAGAGAGAGAGAGAGAGAGAGAGAGAGATTTATTTTTATATTTTTTGTGTGAGAAGACATTTTTGCCTATGCCAAGTAGGAGTTGTCATTGCCGTGTCATCATTTTTAACGGAAAAGTTGACAGAGATGACGGAAAGGACGATTTCTAAAACTGGAGGCATAATTAAAGTACCACGGTAACAATTTAACAATGCAAGGGACGAAAAATAAAGTTTGGGTATAGTCCAGGGACCATTGCTATAATTTATCCTATTTAAAATGAATGAAATGAAAGCTTTATTTTATTGAGGCGTTACAGTATTCATTGATTCATGGCCACTATCAATTGTGCAACTCAAAAGCTTCCTTTACTAATCTTCTTTTTCCTTCTTGCTTGAAGAATTCTTCAAAAAACTCTGCATACTTATAGCTCCGGTACAATGGAGGGTGTTCCTCGTCAATCAAATCCTCAATTGGACCAATCACTGTGTCCTTGTTGGGTCCATAGAACATCGCTAATGACAACCTTGCCACAACTATGTTGGTCACTGCCCTGTGGATCAGTGTTTTCAAAGGCATGCCTTCGCGCGCGTCGGAGCGCGCGTCGGCGCGAGGCGGGAGGAAAACGCCCGAGGCGTCCGGCTGTTTCGCGATCTGCACGTTTAGCGCCGGGAAGGCGTGAGGAGGCGTTGCAAGGCGTGTCCAGGCGGAGCGAGGTGTAAGGAGGCGTTGCAGATCTGGAATCTTCTGAAACGGAAGAAATTGAAAGTCTGCAAATTTCTTTGGGGAAGATGAACTCGGGAGGAAGACGACTCGTTTTTTTTTTTTTTAAGGTTTGTAACGAAACGATGTCGTTTTGGTTGCAGAGTTTTAAAAAAATCTTATAGTGAAACG